TTGAGAAGTTTTATAAAATGATTATTTATCGGTGTAACAAAATTCACTCCTACTATACTAACGTCATCGTTTTCCACATCACTATATCGATTATCATTATCATCATCTTCCTTCGAAAGGATTTAACAACGTCCTGGAGAATGTTTTGAGTAAGAAAAATTCTTCTCGATGTATATACGAAGTAATAAAATCATGTCGAACGATTTCTAACAACCGGCTAACCATAAGAAAGTACGCATAATAATACATTGCTGAGATTTGTTCCGGTGATCTTTTATTCGGTATTATTACTTTACCCGTACTATTGCTACAAATGTAACGTAAAACATTCTCGTCTACTGATTCTCTTATGGTTAAGAGAAATCCCCATTGAATATAAATAAATATAATTATGGGAAGAGATACGTATACGACGTTTAACGATATTGAAAATATTTTTTCAAACAATTATTACGAATGATTTGCATTTAAAAATTGTCAAATGAATTATTGTTATTATATTTTCTATCGAGAGAGAGATTATGTAATTTTATTATAAAAAAAAAAAAAGTAAAATAACTTTAGTTACATTTAATAATATATAAAAGTATTGTATATATATATATCGATTTGTGTGAAAAGTTTTCGATAGAGAAATATTATGTTGTTTGTCGTGTGTGTGTTGGTTTTTATATCGGGTCAATTTGATTGTGTTTTTGTTCTAGCTAGCACACTCGTAGTAGAAAATATCGTACGGAAACGTTTTCTCGCGTTCGAAAGGGAGTTTAGGGGGTAGGGAATGGAGAAATGGAAGTGAGGGGTGTGGGTGTGGGTAGGGTGGGGGTAGGGGGTTGAAATTCGTGTTGAATCACACGGAAAGGCCATATAGACTTTTATATGGGTGTTCCTAACTGATGTATGCGCAAACGTTGCCCGTATCCACTTACTTCATCGTTTGGCAGAAGATTTCGAACGATTTAAAATAGGTCACTTTACGATTCTCGTCCTATCACAATTGAATGCGTACAACAGAAGCGAATATGAAAATGGGATATGATAGAAAAATAAAAATAAATGGAAAATAGAAAGATAAGGGGGGGGGGGCCGGGAAACGCAAGTAAGTTGTCCGTGTGTTTGAAAATCTTCTTCGAGATTTCGTGGTCCGATTTTTCTACGAGTTGCGTGGGAATCTTTCGATATATTTTAATGGGATAAACGTAGAAAGCTTGACCTTTCGAATAATACATTCGTTTATTATTTGTTAAAACGTTTGTGAATTCGGAACGCGTGGTGTGACCTTTAGTAACGCTGAAAATTTCTCACATTTAATTTTCTTCATTCGCGTATCACATTTTATTCGATTATTTATTTATTGCCAATGAAACGATTCAATTGATCGGTCACTTATATAATAATAATAATAATAATAATATGGTGAGAAACAAAAAAAAATAAAAAAAGATAATCATTGCGAAAGAACAAGGCCGCTGTTATGATGCACACGTATCATTGCATGTGGTGTGTGTGTGAGAGAGAAAATGATTCTCGTTGAAAAGTTTGTTTTTTTTTTCGGTCTGTCAGTAGTCAGTTTTGACCAAAATCGTATCTGCGCACGCGCGAGTCGATTTTTAACCTCGGTTGATCTTTTCTTGCTTTCTTTTTTTCTGTTTTTCGAACGTGGTATTAAAGCCCACTGCTGCTCGGTGCGAAAGCATGAAAGAGCACCCTTCATAAATATTTCCAATAAATACCAACGATATCTACCGTTGCTTAAACGCCCACGTATAAACGCGAGTTTATCTACCAAAAGATTCCTACGTTTCTCGACTGTGATCAAATATTTTCAATGTCGATGAAGAATGTAACACGAGAATGATCATTCGTATTAGTTCCTAGTACTTTTCCTTTTTTATTTTTTTCTTCCCCTAGACAAACTGTTCCACCTATATCATCCGATTTTCCTTTATTGAAAAGAAAAAGAAAAAGAAGAAAAAAAGGAAAGATATTTGAAAAAAAAAAAAAAAGAAAAAGAATATTCATGGAATTGCAACTTCCTGCCGGGTGCTGCTGCGGTAGGTCGGATCGAATCTGTCGATTTTAAGGATGCACAGTAAGGATTTTAAAGGGTCCAGTTGGTGGTGGATACCTGGGATGAGGTAGACGCGTGTCCTGAATGTATTTCGGGTGCATACGGAAATAACAGGAAGATGAAGAAGGTGAAGCAAACGGTAGGGAACAGAACAGCACAGAACAGAACAGAACAGAGTAGAACGTTACGGAATGGAATGAAACGATACAGAACAGAACAGAACAGAACAGAACGGAATGGAATGGAAAGATGGAAGAAGTGTGTTTGGGGTCTCGTCACAAAACCCATACAATGGGGTCGCAGCTCGTCGGCCGATAATCCTGATTTAGACTTGGCCATATATTAGATTAAGGATCGTGAAATTGAATGGTGGAATCAGTGCCGAAGAGGAACGACGATCCAACTTCGATCCCGTGCGAAAAATAAACTCATTCGAAAAAAAGAAAAAAGAAACTTGAGAAAAGGAGTCTAAGGTAGTAGGCTCGGTAAATTTCACAGGTGGGCAGAAGGCTCTCTCTCTCTCTCTTTTTAATTCTTTCTTGATTTTTTTTTGCTCCTCTTCGATCATGGTGTTCTCTCGTTTTCTGTTCGATTCATTGACCAACCAAGGCGCCATTCCCGAATCCTTTCCCAAAGGAGTGCCGAGGAGCTTCTATCCCGAAGGAGGCTCGTAAATCTCCGTATTTACTTCGCGTACTTTCTACCCCCCCTTCCCCTTCCCCCTTCCACCCCTCCCTCCTCTCTCTATCTATCTTTTATTCTCTTTTTCTTGTATTCAAAACGTAAATACGTAAATCTTCGTTCGAAGGAAGGAAGAACGGACGGGAGGACAGACGTACGTCATCGTATCTCTTTCATCGTTATCATTCGCGCATGTTTTTTCATTTTTATCATAGATATTCCTACTTGATAACTGGAAAACGTTTCTTGAATAGTTTTATTATTTGTTATTTTTATGATCGTTTATTTAGTAGTAATGTAATTGATTTCATGGGTTTGTATCGAGATGAATAATAAAGCAAGGATTCATATTTTTATGTCATTATTCAAAATATTATCTATGCTAAATAACATAGTCATATATATACGACAAGTATAAAAATCTTATGTATATATGAGGTTAACATATTAATAAATTATATTTTATGTAATAATTCACGTATTTTAATATTATTACAAATTTTGTAATTCGTACAAAAAAGATTAAATTCTTTTTCAGATTATTATTAATATTATAGATAAATTATTTCTTCCTTAATATAAATGATACAAGAAATAACAATAATAATTGAATGAAATGATTTCTCGTTAATTTTTATTCTCCTCAGCAAAAAATAAATATAAAAATTCGTAAATTAAATGAAACTTAATTAGTTACAATATAAAGTGTGTACTTGAAAATGTTCATATATGAAACGACAAGAAAAGTATCTCACGCCTAGTCAACGTCGGATTATTACGTTCGAACATGAAAGCGATAGGGCAACGGGCCCATTATTAATGCGACCGATACTCATTCCGTACTCATCCGTAGATACGATCTCTCCGCCCAGCCAATCGGATCGCACGGTTTAAACCCATAATTACCATTAGCCCACCCATAGCGGGTGCTATGCTAAGGTAAGAGGACTTTCAAGGAGGGGAAACTTTCAATTTACGTGGCCCTCGATGATCCTCTCACTGAGCTACGTTTTACGCGTATCTTTCTAGTAATTTATAAATTCAACGAATATGATTAGACGTTAGATATAATGAACAAATTTAAAAAAAACAAAAGGGAAGCCTTTCTAAATAATATATTTAATTATTATTATTATTTTTGTATATATATAATATTCTCTGATAATAATATGGGATTTTTGATATATTAACATTGGGTAAAAATGTTGTTAAGATATTTAACATAATTTCTGAATAAAGAATTTTTGGTTTATCATCTTAATAATATTAATTTGATTCCTCTGATTATATTATTATTTTGATAACATATTTCTATACTAATTGTTTTATAATACAGTATTCTGAAAACACGTGTAAAAATGATGACAACTGTACCTAGCATGAATATCATCATTCCTCTTGATTACAACACGGAACAAATTAACCATGTTATTGGATAGTTAAATGCATCATTAAAACATTAGCAGTTTACTTTACAATGTATAGAGTCAGAGTCATTTGGAATATCTTAAAAAAAAGAAAAGAAAAGAAAAAAAAATATTAAGATACTTGTAAGATATACAGCATCATTTGAAATCGTGTAAAATACGATGATTAATAACGTGCCGGGTTATATCGTACGACTGTTAGTTAGTCTTATTAGTTTCCGAAAGGATATCACGTGCGAAGGTGTATATATATATATGTGTGTGTGTGTGTGTATCGAAGAAAATCGCTGGGTCATCATTCTCTGGTTTATTTCGGAAGCGTGCCTTTGACTCCTCACGTGTGTGTGAGTGTGTGATTATCGGCATGGTCACGTATCGTTATCCGCCACGAAATTTTGAGGCCAATCAATCAACCGAAAAAACAGAGAGAAAGAGATGCATCCCTGATTCTACTACACAGGGAACGAATGAACGTGTGTGTGTGTGCTTTCGTGCGTTTCGTGTTGCATTCTCGCGCCATTAATTATCGTTACCTGCACGATGACTTGCATTTTATTACTTGATTGGTAACAACTTTAATGCGTTAGGTATATATATATATTCGTATAAAAACAAAGTCATCTAATTTTTGTTAAATATCTTTTTCTCGAGATATTATAATATTATAATTATTCGATTGAAATTATTATAACTTAGTTCGATAAATTTTTGATTAACATTTAACGCATTGTTGATCGACAATGGGTTTAAAATAAGAATCATTTTCACATATTGATTTTGCAATCGTATTAATTAGATTATGGGTTTTTTCTTTTCTGTTTCAGACTATCGCACAGAACGTAAAGCCCGAGGAAAGGTGAGTTTTATTAAGAGGAACGTGGAGGAGGAGGAGGAGGAGGAGGATAAGAAGAAAAAGAAGAATGAAAAGAAGTGATTTGTATTTCGTAAAGATGAGCGCAAAATTCGCGAGAAATTAATGGGGAACTAAAATAAAATGAAAATGAAAATGAAAAAAGATATAATAAAGGAAATAGAAAGAAATGAAGATGTTGTGTTGGAGAGAGCGGCATTTGAAAAACGTTTAAATCCCTTCGCGTTGATTCTCTCACTTTCTTCATTCGTAGAATATAAATCTACGTTTATTCGTATCGTATTAGACCTTTAGTTCTCGTAATATATCTCAAATCGAAACGATTCTCTCTTTTGCCGATAAATTCCGCACCACCTTCTTTTAATAACTTCGGGAATGCTTACGACCCCAAACGAGAGAAAGAAAAGAAAAGAAAAGAAAAAAAAAAGAAGAAAAAAGAGGGTTGTATATTTATTGGGGTTCGTTCGTTCAGTTTCGGTTTCATCCGCGTCCGAAAGACAAAGCATTTGGGCCCGTGTTCGATGTATAAAAGACAGTATAACAAAACCCGTATGCACCTGGTGAGAGAAAGAGAGAGAGAGAGACTATCTCAGAAGCTTTTTGATATATCGAAGGGAATGGTGAAACTATTTGGGCCGACACCCCCGCCTTAATCCGGCCCCTTTTATTTTTGTCGGTATCCACCATGAGTGAGAGAGAGAGAAATCCCTTTCCAGCTGCGATATATCATCGAGTTGTCGTACTTGTCGTATTCGTGAGCCCTTTCCCTTTTACCCCCTTTTTCATTTCTTTTTTCTTTTTCTTTTTATTTCTCATATATCTATCTATCTATCTATCTATTTAATTATTTACTTATCTATTTTTCTTTTCCTTTTTTCCTTTGATATCGCGTTACCGAATAAAATTAGATCAAACGTTACGTATATATGTGTACGCGTGTATATTTTTTCTGATTGAAAAAGTAGGAAGACTTAATTCGTTTTATGACGATAACCGAAATATACTGCATCGTTTAGGATGATATAGATAAATTTAAAAAAATGTTATTCCCGTTTATAATACAAATTGTTATATTCGTTGTTACAGATTCACGGCGTCGATGATTTTGGAAGCATATCCGCGGCTCAAATTAATTGTAGATCTTACCAACACGGAACGTTACTATGATAAAACGGTAAGTGAATTATTATTTCGAGACTTTACAATATATATATATATATATATGATTTTATATATAATTAAAAAGTAATAGTTAGAAATAATTGAATCATTATATTATAAAAGTTTGAAATCTAATTGAAATTATCTTACGTGTGTTTTCATTTAAAAAAGATCGAAATAATATATCAAATTAATAATTAATAATAGCTAATAAGATTGATTTTCATTTGGACAACGGATATAAGAAGAAGAAAAAAGAAAAGAAATATTAAGAAGAAAAATGTAAGAAATTTTAGAAACATTTAAGGTTGTCTTATACCGAATAAAAGACGTTTTTTATTTTTGTCTCTCGCGAGTAGCCATCACCTGCCGCATTCCTTGATCAGTTAGATATCCAAAAGAAACGTCTCTCTTTTTCGGACCACTCAGTTTGTGCTTCTCTCTTATCTCCCTTTATCTATCGTTCTTTTTCTACGTTGCTTTTTCTCTTTCTATCTTTCACCTGTGTTCTCGACCCTTTTTCGCTTTTCTACCACGTCTGGTTCCTCCCACCCTCCCTACTTACCCCTCATCATCTTTCTACTATTTTCTTCTCCGATTTCAAACGACTGATATTCCAGCAGGATCAGTTCAGACTTTATTAAACATTTAAGAACACGTTTTAAAGAGGTTCCACTTAATTTCCTGTTAAAAATGAATCATATATGACCATGTGTATGTGTGTGTATGAATACCTTATGTATGATCATGTCATAAAATTGGCCATTCATGAACATATATGAATAATATATAATATTATATAAAATTATTATTATATTTAATTATTATAAATATATATATTATATAACAAAACAAAGTCCTAATAAAATTAGGAAGAATAAGAAGAAGAAAAACATTTATTGTGATAATATATTTTTTCTCTTTTGTAACTCTATAATTTTATATATGTTCATGTATGTTCATAGATGTCCAGCCATATTTTTTTGTTGTTATCTGGGCGGGGGTGAGGTGGGGTGTGCTAGAGGGGAATAGTAATCGCGATTGCTGTTTCTGCTGTCGTTAATAATGTTGCTTACGAGAAGAGAAATGAGAGATTGTCGATCGAAAAAATGGTTGTCGTCGAACTCGATGATGATCTGTTAGTTTTGAACGAGAACACAATTTGGTACGAGTATTTTTTTCTGGGTCAGACCTGTCATGGATTCGTGGACCGATCAATTATATTAATAAGTCCCGTGTGGCGGGTCTTGTTTCGGTTTTCCTTTCCAATTCTTTTCTTTTTTTTCTTCGGCTTTGCTTTACTTTTATTTTATTTGATTTGATTTTTTGGGTTTTAAACAACAGAGTGTTATGCATTTAATGAAATAATAAAAAATATTTAAGAGAACACAGTCTTGTCAGTGAATTATAACATCAATCTGCACTGTAAAAAGTTAAGAACAATTAAATTAATTTATCGTAACATTAAGGTATCGTCCACACCTAATTTGAACGTATTATACATAAAATGAAGTTACTTTTAATTACTTTACTTACAAATGTAGTTTTTTAAATGAAACAATCTATTTCTGTGTAAGAAAATATAAAACACTCGTACGTATTTACATTGGAAATGTTTTCAACGTCTAGACTGGTCTAATGAGTTTGTCACTTTGCTTAGTGATAGTGAGAAAAAAAAAAGAAAAGATAGAAAAAAAATTAGGTGGTCTTCTGTTGAATGTTCAGCCATTAGGATGCCCACCTAGGGATAAAGTTTCTAATGTTCAAATAAGAAAAATTAGAAAGATCGATTATAACGATGTGATCCGTCATTGGGATTGGGAGAAGAAACGAGTGATAACTGTTGCCCGATATCGTTCATAACGGGTTTCGGTTACGACAACCTGTGGCTGGGTTTTGGAGAACGCAGACGAAGAGTTAAAAAAACAAAAAAAGAGAGAGAGACAGAAGGAATGAAAGTAAAAGAAAAAAAAGTACAATCGAAAAACTAGATGTGTCACGTTTCTTTCGTTTCGAACTTTTCACAAAGTTTTGACAGAGAAACTTGCCAGTAGATATGTGTTTAAATAAACTGAAATATAATTAGAGTGTATTAGAATATTAAAATAATTATTAAATAATCGATAGAAGTATTGTATATGTTCGGAGCACCCGCCCCCTTCGAATTTCACCACTGAAATGATTCATTGTTCTCTATCAAATTTCTTTTATTAATTATTGTTTATATTCCCTTTCGAACATTGCACATGCGTGTATAAAATAAATAATCCACCTAATCAATAAAATTAAAGATTAAAACGTTCTGAGATGTTAGTATTTTTGATCATTTCAATATGTAATATTATAATACACGTTGTAGAATATAATAATTGATTTAATGATATCGAATTTATCTACCTTCGTGCCAACAGTTTCTTCTTATCGTTTTTTAATCGTTAAATTCATTTCAAATGTAATTCAGGATAATATATTTCGTGGCTCGTTAAATTTAACGTAGGGTATCAAAATGTGTATAAATAAATGACGGTAAACGAGAGAACATATCGCGAGGCGAGATAATAATGACGGTTCATGAATATTTATATCATTTTATCTACTCTATCTTTCTCTTGTATTTTTTTCTTACTTTAGAGTTAGAGTTCACCATAGAGAGAATAATTTTTCTAGTCGACGATTAACTCGACTTAAATAAATATACGAACACACACCACCCATGAAGAAGATTGTTCCGTTCAACATTTCGTTCGATTCACTGGTAACGTTTCTTTTTTTTCCTTTAAAAATATTTCAGTTTTTTTCTCTCTCTTTCTTTCTCATTCCCGTACGAGAATGATCCATCCTTTTTCCTCTTTTACTTTTAACTTTCAAAATTTCCCCATCGAGGTACAAAAGGTTTATATGGCGGTAACATGAGTCCCCTAACTCTTCAGACCCGTGTAATTATTCATACTATTCAAAAATTGAAGGCTCTCCGACGTAATAATTAGGGGAAGATAATTAGTATAATCTAAAGAGAATTTAGGAGATAAGATGTTAACGCTTGTATTCGTAGGTGCGAATTTTCTATAACGTATATATATTTGAATAAACATGAGACAAATTTTTATTTCATTTACAACTATATCTTAATGTTCTATTTTTTGTTTTAGGAATTTACAAAGGCTGGAGTAAAGCATACAAAAATTATGATACCTGGGAAGAAGATACCACCATTACATTGTGTCATTAAGTAAGTAAACATTACAGTAATTTAATTTCTATTATATTTTTTATGCAAACGTTTAATATTTAATAACACCATTGGTAATATTATTTGAATGGGTGTTTGAAAAATCAAAATCAATGAGTTCAATTTTATCTGCAATATAAGTAGGAGTGTATTAGAATATGTGATTTTATAATATTATTATCTATTTTAAATAATTATTTTAATCCTCCTATGCAGTGATGATTTCGTAAGGAAGGGCTAAAATTTTCATCTAATAAAACATAAAATTGAAATATTAATTATTATTCAAAGTACGTTAAAATGTATGTAATATTTAAACCAATAAATATATGTTTAAACAAGCTGAAATATAAAGAGAATGCATTAGAGTATTAAAATAATTATTAAATAATCGAAAAAAAATGTATAATGCAATTAAGAAGCACTAAGTATATGTTCGGAGCACCGTCCTCCTCGAAATTCACCTTCAGACTGGCAAGTTGTCATCAATGAAAGTTATTTTATTAAATATTATAATAAATAAGACCATATCGTAGTAGCATATGTAAGACTGTGTTTTATATATACCTGGTGTGTTGTTACCACCCTCGGCAATCTAACCGATTTACAGGTGTGTATATGAACACCAAAACCCTATAGATTTTTAGTTTAGTTTAGTGTTCTCGTTTCGTTTCGTTCTACTTTCTTTCTCGTACGATGAGATTGCAGGCCATCTAGTTTTAATACTAATCGTAATTCACGTTTGCCAGCTGCTGCAGGATATTTCGAATTGCATGTCTCCCTACCACCCTGCCCTACCACCCTGCCCTCCCCCCCTCAAGGCCGATTCCTCTTTCGGATCTATCGATCGTTAAAATCTTCTTTTTCATTTATTTGATTTTTCTGTCTTCTTTACTAAAGATATATAGTCTCGTTATTTATTTATTTAATTTTTTCTTTTGATTGTGTTGTTTTAATCTCACGGAGGAGCTTTTTTCTTCTTGACCATCAGCTTCCGTGTAAGTTCTTTCAATCCGTTGTCGAAGGACAACGACGAGAGAGAAAGAGAGAGACCGAACGTTGGACAAAAATTATAGTCTTTAATTTATCGTCCTCGGTTTGTCTCCCCCCTCGATATTTTCGACCACTAAATTAGGTCGTAAAACGTTTGCTATATAGTCAAGAATCGTATTACACTCGACGTATTCTGGAATATCATTGGAGAGAGATAGGTAGAGCACGCGAACGCTTAGTAATTCGTTTAGTTATGGTCGGTCTTGTTCACCAAATTTTACATGGAATATATTTTTTTTTTTGCCAACAACGAGTAAAAGATAGAGAGAGAGAAAGAGATAGATAGATAGGAAGAAAGAAAGAAAAAGGAAGAGAGAAAAAGAAAGATCGTATCGATCGTTTTAAGGTGTCGCCGAACTTTCGATTTTCGCATGCACTCATATGTGTGTGTTGCACAAACATTATTACGTACACCACTTTTATACACGTGTACACGTTTTATCGAAACTTCCTCTTTTTCGGTCACGTTAGATCACGGTTTTTCCGCGTGGTGTGCTCAGCATGCGAAAAAGGAACAGCGAACTGCTGGCACTTTGGTCCAGGACTGTTAATTAACCGCAGTAAACGTCCGATGATTTACAGAACATCGCGAAACTGGCGTTCGCAAAGCTCGTAGTAGCATACATGTTTGTATAAATATATATATATACTTGTAGTATATGCATCTACATATGCATATGCAATGTTTTTCTTTTTTTTCTTCTTCTTTTGAACTCGGATGCCATGCAACCGGAACGTATCGGAAGATACTATATCGACGTCGACTTATGTACGTGAATTGTGCCATTTATTAAGACGACACCGCGATATTAACAGCGTTAACATTTTATCCCTCTTTCTCTCTTCTGTTTTTTTTTTTTTTTGCTAAGTTCGGATCGGCTACGTACACTTTCCTCTCGCGATTGAAACGTGGAATAATTGAAGTTAGTTTTGATTAGAGATGTAAATTAGGTGCCATTTAATATTCTTGATTATATCCTTGAATTCGGTAGTATCATGAAATAAGGGATGAAATAAAGGGAGTGACAGAAAAGAAAAGAGAGAGAGAGAGAATTATTGATAAAGTGTCCAAGAATTAGTATCTTTATCCGATATACTTTTTAACATTTCGTATATGATTTCACGTTTGTGCATAAAAATTCTGTTGAAGTTGTTGAGGTTCGTATTCAATGGATTTATTCGGCAACTATTCGTCGTTTGATTTTACATCGAGTTTCTTCACTCTTTTCTTTTCGAATGAAGTATAAAAATAAGAAAAAGAAGAAGTAGAATCAGAATAAGATCGAAGGTATCGATCCTTCGTGCTTTTTAGTCGAGGACATTTCGAATACTGTTGGGTACGCGTTAGGGAAACGTGCCGTAAAATGTTCGAGTTCTTCGAGTTGCATGTGTCCTCTCTCTTGTTATTTTTGGATCGAGAATACGTTTTGTGGAAGGTTAACGACGTTTCCTTATTCCCTTAACGCGCATATGCGTATGGCTAACTCGAATTTTAAGAGATAGTATTAACATATATTTACGATCCGTTGTTGGATCAAGGATCTTTTTGAAGATACTTCAAGATTTGTATATATAGGGGAAAAACAAAAAAGTTTAATTCTTATTCTTGGTTAACATTCCTGATCGCGTAAAATGATTTTTTTGGCCTTTTCAATCCGGTATTATTTGCTTCCAGTGTTTACTTCTTTTATCGAATTTAATTACTCTCTTCTTTTTAACGAGCAAAGATTCAAGGCAAACATTTGAGCGAGGTTGCTTGATCAACCTACGAACGAACGAATGAACGTATGAGAGAATCGTATAATACATACAACGAAGGAAATGACGGAAATCATGCCGTGTTCAAAAGGTTACGCAGTATTCTACTGTAGTTTGATTTTCTTACGATAGCGAAAACTAGTTTTAAGTCATAAGATTATATCGGTAAAATACATTGTCGTTAGAAGATACGATTCTCGATTAAGGAATTTAGAAAAAGAAAAATGAGAACTATTTAATTGAATAATAAATTCTTTATCAAGTATGTATGTGTATGGGTGTGTTTGGTTTTCTCGAAGTACTTGAAAATACCTATAACTTTATCCACTTTTCAAGAAGATAAGAAAGGATATTATCGTTTAACGTAGTTTGATGAAATCTAAAGTTTCCATTAAATGTTATCCGATATCTAACATAAGAAAATAATTGATCTAAAATGATTTATATTTGTTTAATCAAATCCTATGATAGATACGAAAAAAACAAACATAAATTGCATTCTAATTCATGAAAAAGTATCGTAATAATTGTATGATTTTTTGAATATGACGAAAGACTGACAATGAGATAAATGCATGTGTTAGGTTCACGTGTTAGTTTGTTTGTCGAATGATCAAAAAATAGAAGATGTTACGATGTTGTTATGAATAAAGATTAGTTTTATCAGGAACAACGCGCTTTACTTGGTAGATTTGGAGACCGATCCGGTTTTCGGTCAGACTCGATTATAATATTTTCGAAGCATGATTCTTCGAACCGGCTAGCGGTTCATTCGTTCGTTCATTTTTAGGCTTCGCGTTTCTTGATATCCGTTCGCGAATTTATTGGGAATAAAGTGTTGGCAAATATGGAAACAAAATACGGGAAAAGGGTATCGTGTTACGTGATATTCACTACCAACTTAACGATTCCTGAAACCAGATTCCCTAAATGCATATGTCGCGTGAGTAGGTATATTATAAGGTGTCTCTTTTTTTTTTCGAAAAAAGAAAAAAAAGAAAGAAAGAAAAACAAGAAGAAGAAGAAGAAGAAGAAGAAGTAGCGTGTCGTGTGACCTCGAAAAAGAAACTCCAATCGTTAGGTGCGTGCGTGCGTGCGTGCGTGCATGCGTGTATGTTCTCGACAAGGTACGACAAGGTGTACGTGGGAGTTAGGCGCCTCACCAAACGACGTCTTTATTCGCCCTCGACGTCGAACATAGGTTTTCACGTGTAGTCCGTCTTGTATCGCGAGACAATGCGCATACATTCTGCCAACGTAAAAGGATACTTTGTAACTAAACCTCTTTGCGAAAGACAGACATTTTCATACCTTTTTTTTTTATTTCTCTTTCTCTGTTCTTCTTTCTTTCTTTCTTTCTTGTAACTCTCAATCTTGACCTCCTTATACAACTAATTTTAATTCTATAAGTTACTTTGTTCTTTATTTAACGTAGATACGAATGTGTACTTTTGGTTTTTGAAATTCGAAAGATATAGAGCACCAAAGTCATGGGAAAATAACGTGGATTATTTTTTTCTATAAATCGTTAGAATTAATCAATCAGTTTTATTAGGAATATAGCGAGAACATTGTATTCTATTATATTCCTGTAATTTTCGATATTAATTCGAGAGATGACAGAGATATAGAGAAACGATGAATTTTTCTTTTTTTGAGGAAGAGAAATCTTAAATAAAAAAAAAACAAACATGAGCGTAGGTGGATTGTGAGCATAACACAAGAACACAGGGTACTTCCGGTCCTGTATTTAATTCGAGTTGACCGGTGGGTCCCAAGACTCGAAATCTTCGTCTTCTTTTATTTTTTTTCTTCAGGAGTAGTGAATATTCCTCTCTTCATTTCTTTGTTTCTTCCTTGTTGGGAACATTACCAAGAGGAGTAGGAGGAGTAGGAGGAGGAGGAGGAAGTGTGCGATGAGGAACGCGTACTCGTCTTACGAGCTGGACCACCCGGACGATAGCTTCATTACGTAAATTCGCCACCACTACTACCTTTTATATACCCTTCACCTTTACCTTCTTCTTCTCTTTTTCATGATTTTTTTTTTCTTTTTTTTTTGTCGTATCCCCATACAGGCGGCACGCTTGCCAACGACACGCAACACGCGTGCGTTTCTTCGAAACTTCCACGAAAGTGTGGAAGAGTAATAGAAAGAGGAGGAATATATCGTTGAATATTAACATTTG